GTAATAATCTAGACCCACATTATGATCATAATAATGCGGCTTCACTTAATTTTTTGGTACATATATATACAGACACCCCCTTAATTGCTTGCTTAATTAAGAAAAAAAGGCCTACTACTCTTCCACGCTAAAATGCCCTGAGATAACAAACCATTACTAAAACAATTGGTTTCTTACAGGCAATGGCTGCATTCAAATTCTATTAAAGCAGCCATGGTTTTTGTAAACAGCTCAGTTTCATGCCAACACTACACAGTACAAACGTCTTATAATAGTAACTTTGCTTTTGTTAAATATGAATTATATATGAAGAGGTCTAAGGGAGCATTAAAAGAGAGATTCAAAGTTTGAACCCTAACCTTCTTAACAAATACTAATTGAAGAAACTGAGTTCACTTGAGATAAACTGATTTGTGATCTCTTCTCTGGATGATAAATGGAACCTTGAATGATACTATATATATAATCCAACAGCTGAATCCATCTTTGATCTGCATTTGTATTATAATTACTTATGCAAGTAGTGCAAATATGTAAAGCAATCTTCAAGGTGATTAAAGTGAAAGAAATTGATCAGTTTCCCTGTGAAAGACAGGAGATGGAGTGGCATAGAAGAGGGATCGATGTGAGGCTAAAGTTTAGTTTGATGTTGTTCATGTGTGAGTATGCTGTAACTTACTTTTTATGATGATGGAATTGGGTGAGTGTGGTCCATAGACACGTGCAAATGATGGCATTGTCTTTCTAATGATGGATTCCCACCGCTTCTTCCACTGTGTGGGATCCACTCTCCTATCATGCAAAATCCATAGCCTTCGCCAAGTCCTCTTTGACCGACAGACACAAAATCCCCCCCCATTTGTATGAATTTCCAAAAAGCCTCGAACATATATAACCCATTTTCAACAAGCAAAAACGCCACTGCCATGAATTTGACTGTCCATTCAGCTCACAACAAGTGTCCTACACCTGATCACCGTTTTCCATATTTGGTGTTTTTCTCCGCTCGCCCTCATGTATATGTCATTTGGTGATTGGCTCATCCCACTCTTATGCTCGAATAAGACAAGGGATTTTTCTTCATTTGTACCCTGCAAGAATTACTTAGTCTTTGTTCGGTGGTTTGTTGATCCAAATGTGAAATTCTAGGCACCTGATTCATTGCTGCTTTTGTTGAATCATTGCAAAGACCCCACCTTCATTTCTAGTACCATACCAATTCATTATCAACCGTTCATTTGTTCTAGCATGATTGTATCTGATGCTTAATTAAGCACAGAACAAACTGATCAGTAATCTCAATTTACCCTCAACATTACCATGATGTGATTAATTAATGATATGCAGACAAAATGGGCACACTGTGATTCTCAATCATACATATTCCTAGCTATTTACGTCTTCGTTATCATTTGAAGAATATATATATATATATATATATATATATATTCTTTAATTTACTCCATTAATTTTACTGCTTGATCACAGTCACACGGGGGTCTCTGAAGTGAGGTTATATTATATTATTTGATGCCTTTTTTTCTTAACCAAGTTCCGTATTAGTTTTTCTTAAGTAAGAATATATACATATTAAAGATAAAATCATATATGCAAACCACTGGAACAGATTTAAGATAAAACCATATCACAAAGAACCTTGATCATTAAACTTATCTGATATGGCAAAGCCTCTTTCTTACGATCTATAAAGTTATTGGTCGATCTTAATTAAGTACAATATTTTTCGGTTTCTTTTTGACTAAAATTACCCATAAAGAAAATGAGGGAGAGTACGTCAAGCATCTAGTGAAAAATTCAAGTATTGTACGTGGAGGTAAGAAAAGCTTATTAGTTTGCCCATAAGGAAGCAAAGAAAATGTAAGCAAGCAAGAAAGGGGATTAAGCCTGACATGTGATATCTATTGCCAAAAGAAAAAATGAGTTTAGGTACAGAATCATGGCTGCCTATGTGAGTAGGGGTGGGAAAGATTAATATTGGGGGAAAATATTTTCCTTTCAATGTTTGTCGTGATTGAAGGAGATGGTGTAATCAGTTGTGGGATCAGCTTACGTGAGGCCAAAAATATGTATTATGGGGCTCAACTCATAATCTAAGATGTCAACACTGACATGATTATCCCACGCATTGTCGTCAAGCTAGAATGACACCTGGCCAATCGCAGTTAACCTCGAAATAGATCACCTTTTCCAAGTAATCTTTCTCTTTTCAAGAAACAGGGGGAGAAGGATTTTCACCAAGCATCTTTTCATTTGACAGCTTAACTGTAACTGGTAAATCCCTATAGAAGCCGCTGTTTTTTCAACGTACACATGATTTTTCTTCTTCTTTTACATTTACGTTACGTTTCTCCATGCCAAATGGCTCCTCGATCAATATTTATAGCAGATGATGATTAATTAATGTATTCATGAAGCAACACTAGGTTAATTAGTTCAATATGATCAGCTGACAAAGATTTCTATTCTTTTTTTTGTATAGTTTCCAAATTAATATACAAAGATCAAGGCAGCATGGTTTAAATGAGACAACTAAGGTACAAAGAAAAAGTTGTAGTAAAAGATAGATTGAGTCCAACGTGATGAGATCAAATGAGATACATAGTAAGCATGATTCAACTTTGTGATTGCTGTTGGTGAAAAATCCTCCAAGAGCTTAGAGTGAGCTGTTTTGCAAAATCAACAATATATTGAAACAGTTGCAGGCAAATTTGTCAATGTCAGGATGCTCTTGGCAGTGCATGGCAAGTCCAGGGTCGGAAGAGAAGGAGAAAGGTCACATCAGCCCGGCAACAAAATCTCCAATGTTGAATCCTTATTTGACGATGGAGGGGTATCAATGGCTGTAGATGCCCTGCCAGTGTAATACAGCAATTTCTGTTAGAATTTTGGGATACATTTCACATTTGGAGTTTTGCTTTTTTTCTCTTTGCTGTTTAAGGAAAATGACTCCCAATTATTTCTTCCAGAGGAGTGGCCTTTTTTTTGCCCCTAATTTCTTCAAGGATTAATATTCTTAAAGAAATAATATTATTGGTGGGAACCCCTCCTATTTTAAACCCGCAAAATCAGTGCAAGGATATATGCTTATCAACTTTTAGGCATGAAATTTCAGTGAAAGTGCGCAAAAACATGCATTTTTTTTGTCATACTTTGAAGAAGCTGCATTCATACATATATGGTCTTCGCAAATATTATCCATAAATTTGAAAACAAAAAGAATAACTTAAACAAGGGGAAATCAGGAATTGTATGTATGACTATTGAGTATTGACTATGCCAAATTGGCCTTAAGCAAGCACCAGAAAACAAGCAAAATTTCTTGTACTTAGAATTAAGCATGAGAGTGACCACTAATTAATAATTCTATCCCTCTTTCTTTTCCCTTTCATTTTTTTTTTTTGGTTTTTTGTTTCTTACTTTTTAAAACAATCTGAAGCAAATAATAGTTTTGGTGATATAGTTAATTATATAAATTCCCAAAATGTGACATTTGTAAAAGTTGTCACTTAATATGGCAAATTCGTTACATTAAACGACTTAACAAATTTGTGAAACAGTTGCACAATATATATATATATATATATATATAAAGAAAGGAAGAAAGAAATAAAAATGTAGTGCTTTTTATTAATCTATCATCCCAGAGAGGATGTTTGTATAATTGAAGCACATGTGTGGTTAGAGTGCGATAGGCAGTCACACGTGCTGAACCCAATCGATTGCTTCCGAAGTATCCGTGATTGTGGTCATAAGATCCAGTTCTACATTCAAACCTCATCATACAAAGTGGAAAATGCAATTATTATTTACCAAACTCAAAATTATACATATTAATAATAAATAATACTTAAGTAGAAGAAGCATTTGGATTTCCTTTTTGATATTAAGAATGGCATGTATGGTTGCATGGTAGGTACAAGAGCCAATAGATGTTGGCACGTACCAAAACTAATAAGATAGCAGTAAATAAATAAAAAAGTGGGGTTTGTTGGATTAGAATATAGAATTTGGGAAATTGAGAGCAACAGTTCCCAAAGTAGAGGGGGGAGTGTTGGGATGCTTGTCAAGCCCAAGCACTCAAAAATAGAATAATTGTTTTTTGTTATGAGTAATGGGTTTGGTTAATTTTTTTCAACATTCTCTACCTGTTAAAGATGGATAGACGACGGCCTTCACTCTCTCACCATATCCGTATCTTGGAAAGCAAAGAAAGAGTTCCATTTTCAAGTTTTGGGATTGGAGGAATCTTTTTTCATTCCTCTCCCACAATGGCTTTATAGAAAATAAAGTGAGAGAGAGAGAAGCAAAAAGAGGCCACCGAAAAGCAGCAACACCTTATCATGAAAGCAAGAAAATTAAAACCCATTCGATTAGACTGCCCAACCCACACGCATTTACACAACAAAATACACGCACACATTCACCCACACGCTCATGCCATGCCATGCCATGCCATGCCAGCAGCCCCTTTTTTTTCCTCCCTCTTTTGTGTTCTGTTCCCTCTCTTCCCCCCTATTTCGACTCTTCTCTTCTCCACTGTGTTTGTTTGTTTCTTTTCCCCTTTCTCCCTCTGTTTCTTTTCCTTTTGTTTTTTGCTTTTTAAAATACGGGAAATCACAAGTCAACCTCACCTCATCATTTGGTCTTGGTTCTTCTAAGCACCACCTCATATCCCACTTTCTCTTCTTTCTTTCCTTGCTTTAAGCGTTTTTTTCTTCCCTCTTCTATATAATCACAACTCTCCATCATTCACTCCTTCACCATGGGAAACATGAAGGTGCATCAGTTGGCACGTGGGTTCTGGGAGCACGAACCATCTCTCTCCCTCGGCTGCAAGCGCTTACGGCCTCTTGCTCCCAAGCTGGCCACCTCC